GGGTTAGGGTTGGGCTTAGGGTTAGGGTTAGGGTTAGGGGTTAGGGTTAGGGTTAGGGTTAGGGTTAGGGGTTGGGGTTGGGGTTGGGGTTGGGGTTGGTGTTTCCCCCCTCCTCGGCCCACAGCTCCCGCAGCCGCTGCCGCCCCTCTCTCCGCCGCGCACGGGCTCTCTCTCCGTTGAAGGCCTTGCCCGGGAGCCGGGTCGGTTTTTCCTGGCTTGCCGAGTCGAGCGAGGGTTTAGGGGCGAGTTAGCACCTGGAGGTGTCAGGCTGGAGCCCTGCCCGTGGTTTCTTGGGGTTGAAAGATTAGGTCAGTCTTCGGCACGTTCACACAAGTCACACCGCCCCTGCTGTGAAGGCGAGGTTGGTAGATCATGCTCATAAACAGCTGCAATACCTGCTTTGCAAGGTGTGTTTATTTGTAGGAATACACATATTTCATAACTTTACAGGCATACTGCTGCTACTGCTTGCATAGATACATTTTTGCCTGTATATAAAAAGCTGACACTTGGGCCTTCCTCTATCACAGTATTTGTGTGGGTATCAAACACTTCCATGCTGTCACCTCGGGGTGCTTGTACTGCACTAGGGCAGCTGAATTTGTGCAGTTTCCAAGTACAGACAAGGCTGCTTCATATGGATAAAGAAACACCCTCAAAAAGAAACCAGGCAAGGTTGTGAGGCCTGATGGAAATTTGTTGTCTATACAGTAGTTAGTGCTTGCTGTCTGTATGATGAAAAAATTATTCACTTACAAAAATAAGTTAAGTACCAAAGTTTCTCTTTTTGCAGTTGATGCTGTAGGTAGGACTTGGGTGAGTTTGATGATAAGCACCTGAAAGTGCAGAAAAGGGCATTTATATACCTGCAGCTTATGAGGTACAGTCTTAAAGTAGTTGTGCTGTATTAAAACTGATGTTATGTATGATCTTTTGTACAAAATTCGTTAGATCTGTAATGCTGTAAAAATAAATCAGAACTTTGATGTGTGATATGCAGCTTTTGTTAAAGAAAGAGGAGCATTCAGGAACAGAACAATACTAACTTACTGACAGATGCATTTTGCTGCAGAAAACATTTTTTACCTCAGAAGCAGATTAAGGAGGGGAAACACCACCCCCCTCCTTAAATTGCAGCTTTTTGCTGCCCAGCTAAATTCTTTCTAGCATGCTGCTGTAGCTGAGGAGCAATGTAAATAATTACAAAGTATGTTAACAGATCTTAGCAGAAAATATACAAAAGTGGTTTCTCAAATAGATAGAAGAAAATGGTTGATAAAAAGAAGAGGGGGATATTTTCAGACAGGAAGAGAACATCCCGTGGTGTCTGGCTAGACAACGTTTGGGAAGAGCAGCCTCTGGAGAACTTCTGAGGGCTTGTGTGAAGGCTTACGTCTCATTTCACTGTACATCAAGGAAATGATGCAAGAACTGTTAAAGAGTTGAGCACAAAGGGTAATGTTTTCTGATTACATGCCCAAGAGCTCTGTTCACACTGCTTGACTTGCTGCCCCAAATCTGATGTTATGAGAGTAATGAGCGATTCAGACCACCTACTATGCAGGGCTGCCAGACACAGACTCCATATACAGTCATATCCTGAAGGTTATGGCTGCCTCATATAGTAGGCAGCTGAAATACAAAGCCAAGTCTGCGTGCAGAGAGTGCTGAAGAATGTTGCTAGGAGGCCTGATGTTCTTCATTGCCAGTCTGTGAAACCATTTCATTCTGGTTTTTCACTCCTAGACAAAGGAATCTCCTTTTAGATAGGGAATGTTAGTTGAATGAGAAAAAGATGAATATATATATTGTGCTTTTTACAAGCAATCCGTTAAGCAGCCGTTGTCTGTCTTCAGTTTGGGTCAAATGCTTTTATCTGGAAGGCTTCCAAATCAAACAGTTCTTCCACATCCATTTCAATTTCTGTGGCGTCAGTTCAGCCAGAGTCTTAGGGCACTGCAGCCTTTGTTACTGGGTTGTAGAGAAGCTACCAAAAAACTAACAAAATGCATCTGTCTACATCTAATATACTAGTGCAATCAACTGTAACCAAGTTTGAAATTGGGACTCTGTTTAAACAGTAACTAGTTTGTTGATTATAATTTTCAAGAATAATGGCTTATTATTTTTTTATATTTTAAGATGTTCTCACTAATACACCCCTGAGAAACTCCAAAGCTGCTGCAACTATGTTCTGTCAGGAAAGCAAAAAATCCTCAGTAATGAGGCAAGAGGGTAATTGTTGCTTTTGTTTAAACAGTTTTCTGTAATTCGGTCCATCCACTTGGAAGGCAATATGAATAATTCCATTTGAAAATAAACAGAACTGGTGGAATTCCTGGATCAGCATTTGTTTTCCTTCAATAAAAAAGAGCTTGCTCTCTCCCAGGTCTCCGGATGCTATTCCTTAGCAGCAGTGCTATGATGCTGCTCTGAGGGTGACAGATGGGCTTCAGGGAAATGTGTTAACCAGGAAAGGACTTTTGTTCTCAGTCGTGTCCCATTCAGTGTTCAAGTGTGGATTCAAGGAGAAATAACAGCACTTCATGGAACCTTTGCCAACAATAAACAGACAAGGCACAATTTTTACTGTTACCAAGCTGTGATAGATAGCAGAAGGGTACATAACTTTTTTAGTATGTGACCAACACAGGCAGTAAAGCTGGGTGGAGTTTAATTCAGCAGAGGTTACATTTATAGGCCAGAGGACTTTATAGGACATTTATAGGGCAGAGGACACTTGAGGACTGATTGGGTGAGACAGATTGTGGGTTTGGGGTTTTGTGTGTGGTGTTGGGCTTTCTTGCAACAGTATTTTTCTCCCTGCCCAAACAGGTATTTTCATGAACTGTGAAGGCAGCTATCTAGAGGGAAGCAGGACCAGCCACGTAGTGCTAGATAGGGTGAGATAAAGTAGATAGGATGGGAGCTCAAGGCATCAGAGCAAAGGGCAGTACTCCATGCCTTTGTTCAGTGGAGTCTGTATACAGCTGTTTTCTGGACCCAGGGGAAGCTGGGGGTCAGACAGTTACCACCCCTCTGCCAATGATCTCCTTCTACAACAAGGTGATCCACCTAGTGGATGAGGGAAGAGCTGCGGAGATTGTCTATCTGGACTTTAGTAAAGCCTTTGACACTGCCTCCCACAGCATTCTCCTTCAGAAACTTGTGGCCCTGGGCTTGGATAAATGCACTGTGCGCTGGATAAAAAACTGGCTGGGTGGCCAGGCCCAAAGAGTGGTAGTTAATAGAGTTAAATCTGGCTGGTGACCAGTCACAAGTGGTGTTCCCCAGGGTTCTATACTGGGGCCTGTTCTCCTTAATATCTTCTTTAACAATCTGGATGAGGGGATTGAATGCACCCTCAGTAAGTTTGCAGACAACACCAAGCGAGGTGGGTGTGTTGATCTGCTGGAGGGCAGGGAAGCTCTACAGAGGGACCTAGACAGGTTAGATCAGTGGGCCAAGGTTAGTTGTATGGGTTTCAACAAGGCCAAGTGCTGGGTCCTGCACTTGGCTCATAACAACCCCATGGTAAGCTACAGACTTGGTCATGAGTGGTTGGAAAAGGACCTGGGGGTATTGATCAACAGGTGACTAGATTCTGTGGCCGGCAGGAATAGGGAAGTGATTGTCCCCCCGTACTCGGCACTGGTGAGGCCACACCTTGAATATTGTGTTTGGTTCTGGGCCCCTCACTATACCCTCACTGTAACAGGGACATAGAAGTGCTGGAGCATGTCCAGAAAAGGGCAAG